TATTTTATTTTTTTTTTAATTTTTATGGTATACATATATTATTACAGTTACAGTGGAGTTAGACTGTAATGGTAATTAAGGTAAAGAAACATATCGACTCGAATGGCTTTGCCTTACATTTGCATTTGCATATGAATAAAGTTTCCACTTTGAAGCTGTTGAGTTTCGAATGAACTTTATTAATTCTGTTTATTCGCTCTTAGCTTCATTTCGAAGCGAGTAATTTCGTATACAATATTGCGTAGTTGTCATGCTCGATCGTCTTTGCAGAGTACCCGGGGCAAAAACTTGTTTATTTAAAGGCACACACACAAACACGCACCCACGCCCACGCTTAATACGCCCTGCTCACTGTTTATTATAAATTTTAATATATGTAGGTAGGTCGATGCGTTGCATGCGGGGCATTGGGCGCCCAGGTGAAAGATGCCCATTGAGAGGAAGAGGCGCATTGTCAGAGCAAACAGAGCAGCAGCAACGGCAGCAACAACAATACATATTTTTACTGGTCAAAGCCAGGCAAGGTTAGGTTGGGCCTTGAGCCCCAGCTCAAGCAGCAGTTGATAATATAAATGGAAAAACGAAAGGTCGACATTTATTATGAGGCTTTATCAGCAGAATACATTTGTTCCGTGCCGTGTTATGAACTGGGAATATTTGGCTACTCGTAGAGCAGCCTTACAGGACAGGACAGGAGAGGGCAGTACAGGACAGCGCAGCGCAGAAGAGCCCCAAAGCAAGACATGCTCCTTTTGCCCCCACCACGCAGCGCATTCTACAAGGTTTTTCCGTGTAAATGGTGAGCCACTGCGGTGGCCGGCGTGCAGGAGGCTCTCCTTGGGGTGGCATCTGTATCAGTTTGGGGCACAGCAGCGTCCAGTGGATAATACGGCTACACGTGTCCGCGACTTGGCCCTAAGCAAACTGTGAAATACCGGGCCAGCCCGGTGCTTGAAGAGCTTTTCATAAATTCCATTTATGTGACTGCCAGATACGCGACTCTGGCGCATTTCCCTCTGATTGATGCGAACAATCAATTGAATTGATTAATTGCCTAATTAGCATCTCGATTGCCATCTGCGGAATTTTTGTATCAAGCCGGCTGTAGCCCAACTCCGACAAGCATTTATTAATCATGTTAATCCAGCAATCCATTCGACACACATATGCCTCGCTCGGCCGCCCATCAGACGGCAAATGGCTGCGTCTAATGTCTTATCTACATGGAAATGCAGCCACTCCGGGTGCATCCGGCTGCAGTTGTAACTGCCGCACTGCATGTGGTCGTCACTGAAGGCAGCCGGCAAGTTTGTGTGCACCGTTTCATGTCGTGCTGTTCCGTGCCGTGCCGAGCTCTGCTCTACTCTGCTCTGCTGTGCTGAGCGTCAAAATCTTCAGTGCTTTGCTATTTGCGCATTTCCGGTTTCCGTTGCAGTTGCACGTCCTGAACGAACTCCCATGCCGCCATAGATACATTCTTTATATGCAGAAAATATCCTGCTATGCACCGAATGCTTCTTATTCCACTGTCGTGCTCTCGCTATGGCTGATGCTGCTATGGCTGCTGTTGTTGTTGCAGCCATCGACTGACGGCTTCATGCATGGGAATTATTAACTAAACAGCCAGCATCAGCAGCAGCAGCAGCAGCAGCATTGGCATCGACATCGGCAACAACAACACATCGACACCAACAACAAGGACATCATGCCATACCGTTAAGGTAATGCACGTTATGGCGTCTGCATGCCAGAATGCAGCTTCGCATCGCTTCGAGCTTCAGTTGATGGCGTCCATAAAGTCTGCAAAAATATTATGATGTGTGGCATTGTTTGAATTACCCACCCACTAGGCACTCTATGAGTGTGTGTGTGCCTGTGTTTATGTGTGCATTTTGACATGCATGAGCAGCTGCAGCGCCAGCCTCCTGCTCCGCCTCCTACTTGCCTTAATAAGCCCATCATAACATTTTATGGGGCAAGCTTTGGCTAATGTTTCTAACTTGATTCCATTCGTGAGCCAATACGTCGCAGTTTTCAGCTTATTGAAAACAAAGCAAGGAGGGCAAATTTAAAAGAGAGCTCTATAATAGCTACGCTTCAAGGCTAGAAGAGGCTTGTGAATACTAGCAAAGCAATGGGGCTTGGAGCTTTGATTTGTCTGTTGGTTTTTTATCTTTTTAGCCAAGCACAAGCATGGACAATTTATGGGCACACACACAGATGGCGGAGAGTCGGTAAAATCAAAGTCGAGATGTAAGTAAATAAAACATATTGTTTCTTATATAGGAAGACATTCGGGAAAATTGCCACGATTTGCAATGCAAATCAAACATGGCGCTATTATTTCACTCACATGCACACACACACGCATGCACACATTTACTTGTTATGTAGAAATGAAAGTGAAACCTCGGCGCATATGTTGCTTTCGAAGCACACGAACATCTGTCTGTCTGTCTGTCTGTCTGTCTGTCTGTCTGTCCCTTCGCCTGTGTCTGTGTGTTATGCTTGAATCATTGTGATAATAACGCAAAGGAAACATAAGCGCGTTCCTTTGTATGTGTGCGTGTGCAGCTCTTCACCTGCGGCACTGCGCGAAATAACAACTACAGAAAGACGTTGCCAGCCGCGGCATAAAAACAAGGCCCGACTGCTTTACTGCTGCTCAACTAGAAGATACTCTGAATCTGAATCTAGAATCTGAAAACATGATTTTTTTGAGCGTTTATACCATGCAAGTGAATTATTATATATCTTAATAATTAATTACTTATAATATTCATTCATATTATTAATGAATTTCCATTGAGAAACACTCTCGACAGTTTCAACAGTCTCAATCGAATCGAAGTATGTATATTAATTGATATACAAAGTTTGTTTATTTCTAGAAGTCAACAGCGATTCTCAAAAATATCTACTCCCAGCTTAGCATCGGCCACCAACAGGCTGAGTTATATCCCTGTATGAGTTTTTGAAGTCTTCATCAAATGCTCAACCCCGGCTATATGCAGAGCCAATATACCCTGTCTACCTCTATCAGGGCTTTAAAGAAAAAAAAAATATATATGTATATGTATATGTTTAAAACATTTTACTCCACTTTGCATTTTTCCGTTACTCGCTGCTCGCTGCTCGCAGTTCCCGTTACCGGCAGTCATTCGGGCAGTATTACGCGCTGCCCCCCTGCCCTTCGCCTGCTCCCAGCCCCCACCACTCTTTTTTAACCTGCGGCAAGCAGTTGCTTTTGACTGTGCGTGTTTTCGTTGCGTTGTCTCTTCTYTTTTATATGTATGTATGTATGTAGGTATATATATTTTTTGGAAATTTTTTGATTTGTTATTGTTGCACGTGTTGTCTTTTGCCTTTGTTATGACAATTTATGCTAGGTGGGCAACTGAATGGCAGCGCGCCCATCTGCCGAGCCCAGGGGAGGACCACATGTTGTTCATATGAAAACACACATCTCTTACTATCGCATATCCCAAACAAAGCACAAATGTTTTCGAATGGCACTCACCTCGAGAGCAGGCAACATTTATCCTGCTTGCCGCTGGATAATGAGAATAAATTTATATTGCAAATTGTTCACGCTGTTGCATAAAGTAATGAATGATGAAATGAATAATGAAATGCAGACTGAATTACGCGATGACCTTTAAAAAGAAAATGCAATGGGCGTTGTTATTTTTACAAAATTTTTTTGCTTGTTTTTATTTGTTTTCCTTCAATATATTTATGTATACATAATATAAGTTTTTTGTTTTTAGCCGTTTATTTTTAATATTATATTTAAGTGTTATCTCTATTCATCATTTCTATGTTGCAATAGTTGTTCTTTTCATTTTTCATTTTTAATTTTTGCTTTTTTGTTCCTTCTTCGTGTTGTTCTTGTTTGTTGTTTTCTGTTTAAGCTTTGTATATTTTCTTAATGCTTCCTCGCTAACAACTCATTGGCTAGCCCCTAACCGTCCTGCTGGCTCTTTATAATTACAATCGATCCCCGTTTTGAGCAGCCTAGCATTTAAGGTTTCAATTTTATATTTGTTGTTATTTTTACTTTAACTTTTACTTGTTTTTGTCTTGTATATAATTTGTATAATATTTCGCTTGCTTTTAATTTGGTTTACGTTTGGCGCGTTGGTTTACAAAAATCGCGACCAAATTTTGTGTTTGTTTTTTTTTTTTCATTTCATTTTTTTTTTTTTTTTTTACTTTTAACCATAAATATTTGCTTTCTTTCATTTTCTTGGGGCTGCTATGCTTAATTGGATTAACCTTTTAATATTCGTTACATTTTTTCACATGTGATTTCTGATGAAAACGCCATTTTGTATACACGTGAGTGTGTATGTGTGTGTGTGTGTATGACGATAGTTGCGGCCATGTTTGATGCCATATATTTTATTTTATATATATATT